TGTCTGGGAAAGACTGCAGCCCGTCTGACGCTCAAGTCCATTCTTCTCACCAATGTCTGATACTGCTACCTACATTCAGCAATGACCGCTGATTTCGTATTTAAGTGTGTCATTTCTAAAAGTGCAAAGCTATATTAGTACTGCTGTGTAAATTATTCTTTTCAGATGTTATTGCCAAAAAACAAAAACAAATAAAATCAGGGTTCCACTGAGGGAAGGGCGAACTGCATATGGACGGACACAAGGGGACTTTTTGAGGATACATTTGCGCAATTCAAGATATAGCTAAAATCGTTGACTTGTACAATTATAATATGTGAATTTTATGGCCTGTAAATTGCACCTTAATTCAGCTATTAAATTAAGAAAGTGGGATACCAAATTAAGACTAAAACACATATACACATCACACAAAGAACAACAGGCAAATATCATTATTTACTGCACCATTTTCCTTCATGCAGCTTCCTTTCCTCACCCGTTCCTGAAAGGATGATTCATTTTTAAAATAGTCTTTTAATTTATTCAGCAAATAATTTTTGACTGCCTACTATGTACCCAGGACTAGTCTAGGCACTTGGAATAGATCAATAAACAAAACAAAAGTCCTGTCCTCACGGAGCTTGGTTGGAGTCTAGCTGGGTTGGGTGGAGGAGATGAAAATTCACACAACAGAGCAGCAGAGGAGTTGGCATGTTAGGAAAGAGGAACCATGGAAAAATGAAAAAAGGGCAAGGAAAAGAGAGTGGAGGATATGAGATGAGGGTGATGTTGTATTAAATACCTGAGCAAGCCACAGTGAGGACTGAGGTTAGAACTAGGACTAGGAGGTGAGAAGTCCCAGGTGGACGGAATAACCATCACCAAAGCCAGCGCCCACCTCGCATGTTCCAGAATGGGGGCACGGCTGGAGCTGCGGACAAGGGTAAGTGCAGATCCTGTACGGCCTTGGAGGACATTGTAAGGACTGTGGCTTTTACCCGGAGTGAAATGGGGAGGCACTGCAGAAGGACGACACAATCTAACTTAGGTTTTCAAGGCTCACTTGACTGCCGGGTGAGAATAGTCGAAACGGGTCAAAGATGAAAGTAGGAAAGCCTCTGAGAAGGACTGTGCAGGAGGAGAGGACAGTGGCTCAGGGCAGGGAAGCAGCAGTGGAGGCAGGAGCCATGGTGAGAAGTGGCTGGGCTCCGGATATGTTTTAAAGTCAGTGTTAAACCAGATCTATTGACAAAATTCATGAGGTATGTCAGTGAATGTCAGAATAACTCCAAGTGTTTTGACCAAAGCAGCTGGAAGGATTAAGTTTCCACTAACTGAATGGGGGAGGTTGCAGAAAGAACCAGTTTGGGGGATAGGAGGACAAAGAGCTCAGTTTTTTCACATGTTGGTTTTAAGATATCAGAGTTCCAAGTGAAGAT